GGCCTGAGGCAATTTTACCTCAGACGACGAAAAACAAAAACTCTCCTTTTTTTTTTTTGAAAAAACAGGAAGATAAAGAAAACTGAAGAAAAAACTGAGGCAAAAAAATGAGAGCTGATCACTAAAAAGTGACCCAAAAACAGTGATCCGGCCAGACCTCTCGAAGAAAGGTCTGTTCAGCGCGGGGGTAAGGAAAGAACTGGCGGGATGTCCGTGCCTGCCCTTCTGGGCATGCTCACTGGGGCTCCTGAGCATGCTCAGTTGGGCCAGGCACGAAAATCATGATCCAAAAGCAGCGATCCGGCCAGACCTCTCGAAGAAAGGTCTGCTCAGCGCGGCGGTAAGGAAAGAACTGGCGGGATGTCCGTGCCTGCCCTTCTGGGCATGCTCACTGGGGCTCCTGAGCATGCTCAGTTGGGCCAGGCACGAAAATCCTTTCAAGAGAGCTTGCTAGGCACCGGCAGTTCCAGCGCAGGCGCACTAGATCCCATTGGTGTGAAGCACAGAGACCACGAAGAAGATCACTGGTAGCAACACGGAAGGGTAGGGTTGCCAAGTGGAACTTACCTTGGATGCGGGGGACTCCTGGGTGGATCCCGGAGCACGCACCGCACACACATCACCAGGAAGTGACATTATGACGCCGGGCACGCTGGGGGTGGGGCCACGACCATACAAGGGAAAACCATAGAGTTTTCCCTTGTATGGCCGTGGCCCCGCTCCCAGCGTGCCCGCGTCACTTCCGGGTGACGCGCACGTCGGGGAGGAGTTCCCCCCCCCGGGGCCTGATCCGGTGGCGCCGGGGAACGGGCCTCTGGGGCGGGGTTTTCCCCGCCCCCTGGGGGGACTTGGGATCCCTACGGAGGGAGCCTTCTTGGTCGTGGCACCAAAACTCTGCAACTGTCTCCCCAGAGAAACTCACTCGTTCCCTTCTGTTGTCCTCATCCAACAGCAGGAGAGCACTTTTTTGGTTTCATTTGGTGATCCCTCCTTCCTGCTGTTCCTGAATTGTTTTGACGTATGTGTATTTTATTGTACAGTATGCGCATTTTAGTTTGTTTTAATTGTTTCAATGAAGTGCTTTTAATTGGTTTTAACGGTTTTTAAGACCGTAACTGCTTGGGTGGCCCTGATGAGGGCAAAAAGCTAGGATGTAAATTTCGTAAATACAGAAATCATAAAATAAATGAATGACTGCCATTCAAGCGATTCTGTGCTGAGGGACAAGTCTGCCCCCTGGTGGCCCAGTTTTCTCTCAAAAGAATTCCACAGAATTCTGAAGTGTTTAATTATGAGCAAATGCTTTCTCCCTATATTCACTATGTACTTTACCCAATTAATTAATCTAGAAAGAACTGTTCTTCTGGGGCAGATGTATTCCACTAGTAGTTTATCAACAAAGAAGGAGGTGGGGGAGGCAGGAGACTGAACAAAAGCAAAAAAAAGAAGAAGTTTAGTTAAGCGTAATAACTCAAAAGAATTAAGACTAGAGAAGAAAACACCGTAGAACAAAATTGCCATAAAGGTCAGACATATAGAAACAGCCACCAACACAATATAATTTTTTTTAACAAAAGCAGAATCAGAACACAGATGACCTGTACTCAGCCATGCCAAGGCAACCACCTCATTTGCAAAACACACGCTGAAAGAAAACAGTTTACATCTCAGCAGGGCAGTCAAAAGAAGAGTGAGGGACAGAAGACCCAGCAGCCTGCCTGTTTTAGCCTACGGCCTTTTCACTGTTTTCTTACTCTCACCACCCTCACCTGGAAAATATTCCTGCAATTCTGACCCAAATGAAAGGCAATCTGCCCTTGTTTAGGATAGACAAAAGGAAATACTACTTGACACAGAGAGTGATTAAAATGTGGAATTTGCTGCCAGAGGGTGTTGTGATGGCCAAAGGAATGAACAACTTTGAAAGGGGATGAGATAGATTCATGGTGGACAAGTCTATTAGTGGCTACTAGCCATGGTGACTGAGGGGAACCTCCACAATCAGAAGCACTAATCCTCTGAACCCCAGAGCTAGGAGGCAACATCAGGGGAAGGCCTCGGCCTCTATGCCCTGTTGTTGGCCACCCAGAAGAACTGGTTGGCCTCCATGTGAGACAGGATGCTGGACTCGATGGACCACTGGCCTAATCCAGCAGGGCTCTTCTTATGTTCTTAACCCCTCAAACAAGCCAAAGACATGGTGAGAAGCTCAGCTTTCACCCAGGCACCCTGCCCCAACTCCATGTTCTTCAATGTTGTTTTTCAGCAGTAATGAACAAACCAACATTTTTCTCTCCCTGAAGTGGAATCCAGAAGGGCAACCGCAGCAGGTGGGGAGCAGGAGAACTGGTTCGTGCTGCTCACAATTTCCTCCACCGAGAAGGATGAACGTGAACTAATAAAATGATGTGGATAGGATCTAAGTGGGTAGAGTTCCAGCCTTTGCAGTGATTGCCAAACTTCATGGATTAGATTAGAGGTGTCAAACGTTAGGCCCGAGGGCCAGAACCGGCCCGTCCAGGGCTCTTATGTGGCCCGCAAACAAGTGGTGCAAGGGAGGAAACAGGAGACTGCTTGGGGAGAGTGGGCGGAGTCACCCCGACTGTGGCTCCAGCACGGTGGAACAATCTCGTCTTCAGTAGTTAAGCTGCGTGGGCGCATCTGCCCAGCGTTGCACCGCTGGCTCTCCGGTCCACCCACTTTGGTTTTCCTCCGCATCTCCCAGCCCATGGGGCCCTGCAGTGAGGATACACCAACTCAGAGCTTACCAGCTGATGTCCTTGATAAAGTTTATGTCTCCAGTACCTGGCATTCGTTTTATGGCACACGTGGCCTGGGCCCAACAAAGTGACATTTATGTCAGATCCGGCTCTCGTAACAAATGAGTTTGACATCTCTGGATTAGAACTTTGCTTTGGGCGTGGGAAGTCTGATCCCCTTCTCCAACTGGCAGAAGCTGCAACTTGGGAGAGGGGGCACTGCATGACACAGGGCTTTCAGGCCTCCTAGCCCAGTACACATCTGCTTGAGGCTTTCCAGAACGACTGCATGGTGACTGATGGCCCGAGAAATAGCCCGCCAATATTGGCCCAGGATGGACCTCGAGGGGGGAGAGGACTCTCTTGCATGAGGGCAGGAGTGACAAATGAACATGTAGAAGCTGCAGGAGGTACTGGGAAGCAGCAGACCAAAGGAGATGAACTGCAATCTAGCTCATGGTCGAATCTGAATTTGTCTTTCCCACCGGTGTCCCAGCCTTCTGACTCCAAAAAAGCTGTCTACATTTGGTTTTGTTTTCACACCTCAACAGTGCTAGCATACTTTTGCATGTCTGCATATCGCCCTCTCATGGCGGCTCCACTGTCATTGCGCCTCTACACTGCTTTAAATGAATCTTCTCCAAACAATGTTCAAACAAGCATAGAGAAAGATGGCGTCACAGCAGCACGAAACTGATTTAAAAATGCAAACGCAGATTCGATCCATGAATCTAGGGGAAGAGAAACTGAGGGAGGATAATGACAGAGCCCCCCCCCCCCGGGGTACCAAGGGGCCTTGGGAGAAAGAGGGACCTCGCTGGGGGACTGAGGTCAGCTGACGTTGCCTGCCACGAATCCTCATTTGAGATGACGTATGCTGCCCTGAGTTATCTGGAGGAAGGTCAGGATGTAAATGTAATAAACAAACAGGTAATGAGCACTGAATACATTACCTGTGGAATACTCCACTGCCATTGTCCTGGAAGACACTGTGCTGGAGCCTACAGCAATTGAAAACAAGATGGTTTGTAAAAAATAAATAAATCACTGCATCATTAAACTGCATGCATGTAAACATCTGGTCAAATAAACCAAATGCTGAAGATTGGTAATACAGCACACTAAAACACCATAAAGTGCCAAAAGTCAAGGTGGACAATTTTTAAAATCGTTACAACAAAACTTCTTTAAATGCACAGAACTGCGATCCCACTCACAATCCAATCCAAATATAAGTTATTTGCAAACAAACAGAATTCTAATGTCTTTACCTGATAATGATATGCAGGTTGTTGATATACAGGTTGGGCTACCATTACAGGGGAATTGGAAATAGAACGTGACTTTAAAAGAGAGAAAATTAAATTAAAATCTTTTTAAAACCACTATAAAAAACCTTTTCAGAAAGACAAATACTTTAAGCACTGTAGTAAAGCACCAGAACTTTGAAAAATAGAGCAGTTTCATCAAGTAGCTTATTATAACTATGATTTTTTCAGAACAAAGTCAGGAGTCCAGTGGCACCTTTAAGACCAACACAGTTATTTAATTCTGGTGCATATACACTACTTCAGATACATGAAGAAGCGTGCAAGCATACAAAAGCTTACACCCAGAATTAAACTGTGTTGGTCTTAAAGGTGCCACTGGACTCCCAACTTTGTTCCGCTGCTTCGGACCAACACGCCTCCCCCACCTGAATCTATGATTCTTTCAAAATGACTGTAAACTGGCTCACTTTCTTTGTTTTGCATTTAGCTTATTTTTTAAAGGTGGGGGGAAAGGCTCGTAACATTCCTGGTATTTTGAGCAGTTTTTAAAATTACAAACTCCCCAATGTTAACACAAAGGCTCCAGTTCAGAGTTGCCCACACGTGCTATCTACTGACTCCCCAAAGTCTTGTTCATAGTTATTTTAAAGTGTCTGTAAGCTTCCTTGAGTACCCCTGGTGTAACGAACAAGATGGGCATCATTAAAATAAATAAAGAAGAAGAAGAAGAGATTGGATTTATACCCCGCCCTTCACTACCCAAAGGAGTCTCAGAGCGGCTTACAAACTCCTTTCCCTTACCCTCCCCACAACAGACACCCTGTGGGGTAGGTGGGGCTGAGAGAGCTCTTGACAGAAACTGCTCTTTTTCAAGAACAGCTCTTATCAGAACTATGGCTTGCCCAAGGTCATTCAGCCAGGTGCAAGTGGAGGAGTGGGGAATCAAACCTGGTTCTCCCAGATTAGAGTCCGCGCACTTAACCACGACACCAAACTAGCTCTCAAAATGCTCAGAATCTTAATATTTCAATGTTGCCCTGCAGCCACTTCAGATGGCATTGTTAAAGACTCTTAAATATGACTGCTTTGCTGAACTGTGAAGAGAGTGTGTCGGGGCGATGGACAGAACTGTCGCCCAAGAGCAGTGCCCTTATACTGGACTATGGAATGCACTGTGGCCAAGGGGAGCCTTGTGCCTAAGAAGCATGCCAAGCCTTGATGTGGACCCGGGACTACAGAAGCCTCCTGCCCCTACATCTCCGCAGCCATGCCAGCGCCAGAATGCGGACCAGCAGCCCTGACCGCCATGCATACAGAAACAGCAGCAAATCACAGAGGGAAGCCATGTGCTGTAAAAAGGACAAGATGTTCTTGCATAGGAGCCATGAAGAACTCCCTTCTCCATCACGCAGGCATCCCCCCCCACCTTCATGTATTAACATCACCAGGAGAAACACACATTCCTCTCCCACCTAAAACAAAAGGATGTGCCTAATGACAACAATAGCCAGCCATTGAGCTTTCCCTGTCACCCATCAAGATAACGCAGCTATCACACATCTGGTCATTAATCCAAAGCACTGGCCACGCCACCTGATTGGTGCTCTTTTTGCTCTCCTTTGACTCACCCCCCCCTTCCTCCAGAGGTGTCACTCCCAGCTGAACACTACGTTAACGATTGCCCAACCATTAATCCCTTTTCTGCCCCATTCTTAGTGTAAATTTTTTTAATATATCCTGGGGACCAGGTGACCAAAGAAAACCCTGCGTCAGGTTACGTTTTCAGATATATAAGGAAAGTTTTGTGCCTTTGCTCTCTCTCTCTCGCTTTTACCTCTTCTGACAGCACCCTACCTTGCTGGTTCCATTCCTTGTAGTTTGGTGTCGTGGTTAGGAGCGCAGACTCTAATCTGGGAGAACTGGGTTTGATTCCCCACTCCTCCACTTGCACCTGCTGGATGACCTTGGGCAAGCCATAGTTCTGACAAGAGCTGTTCTTGAAAAGGCAGTTCTTGAAAGAGCTCTCTCAGCCCCACCCACCTCACAGGGTGTCTGTTGTGGGGAGGGGAAGGGAAAGGAGTTTGTAAGCTGCTCTGAGACTCCGAGTGAAGGGCGGGTTATAAATCCAATCTCCTCCTCTCCTCCTCAACTCATGGCCCCTTCCCTTATTTTATCCCTCTTCGCTGCAGAAGCAACTCGTCTTGCTGGACAGGTAAAGTATCACCCCACCAATGATACTTCCTGCTAATGCAAACATCTCTGTACTTTTCCTCTCTGAATTCTTTGTTTTGTAATGAGTGTGTGTATGCTTGATTTTATGTTTGTATGTTCGAGAATCCTTCAGTAAAGAGAGCACAGCTTTAGTAATCTAGCCTCAGCATCTATTTCTGGGTCCTTGGAATTCTGGTATGCACAGGTTATGGTCCTATAAGTAATGCCTATTGGCATTTAATATTCATAATTCCACACATTTATTAATAAAACAAGCCAATTTGGCTAACATCAAACAGAAGAATTACTTACAGGCCATGGCTGTGGAACGGAGGCAACTTCAGGAGTATGGAAATAAGCCACACCATTGTGGTACGTGTAAGGATATCCAGTGGACGTCGTCAAGTACATTGTACCAGCTGCGGGCATTATACTGGATCCTACAGTAAGCAGTGATAATAAAAACCCACATGCATTTTGAATACTGAAAACAATGAAGAATTCATTTGTTAAAAGGTAGGGGAAAATACTAATACTGCATTTGTCAACAGAATCTTTTTCGACCGCCAAATTACAAGGTATGGTAAACATTTAACTCACTGTATGAAGAAGAAGAAGAAGAGATTGGATTTATACCCCACCCTTCACTACCCAAAGGAGTCTCAGGGCGGTTTACAAGCTCCTTTCCCTTCCCCTCCCCACAACAGACATCCTGTGAGGTAGGTGGGGCTGAGAGAGCTCTTGACACAAACTGCTCTTTTTCAAGGACAGCTGTGCCAGAGCTTGTGACTGACCCAAGGTCACATTAGCAGGTGCAAGTGGAGGAGTGGGGAATCAAACCCGGTTCTCCCAGATTAGAGTTTGCACACTTAACCACTACACCAAACTACACTATACCAAACTGGCTATTTTAAAATAACCGTTGTTTAAATATTTGTGAAAGATTTAGAAACATTCCACCAAATCTAACCAAAGCAATGAAACCAACAAAGCAACAAAGTCAGTAGGGAAACGCTTCAGCCAGGGCAGGTAGCTCTTACCCTTTGCAGTCTGGAAAAGACCCCTTGCAGAGACAATTCTAGTTTCTACTAGTAAGTTTTATTGGGACACAGTCAGTTCAACCTCGGACTTACTGCAGGCCAGACCTTCTTAGCATTGCTTTTCACAGAATCACAGAGTCGGAAGGGACCTCCAGGGTAATAAAGTCCAACCCCTTGCACAATGCAGGAAATTCACAAATACACCCCCCCCCCCCCCCCCCCCCCCACAGCGGAGAGGAC